CGGCGGGGTACCCGGGGCTGGGCGGCGGCGGGGGTCGTCCGGCGGTGGCGGGGTTGGATGGCCCCCGCGGCTGGGGTTCGGGGGCCGCAGCCTCACCCCGGCTTTGCCCCCGGGGATCCCCGCTCGACAACGCTGGTTATAGCAAACAGGCAATCTCAACACCATTCTCGATTCCCCCTCTTTGATCTTCATGTCGTTGGGCATGGAATCTCCGTTGTCTCGCATGAAGGAGCTTAGTTTCCCGTACATCGTCGCATATGTTGCTGATGTGTGTCTGAGTCCAGTACTTCCATGCTCCGGCATAATGTAGCCTTTTGACAAAGTCATCCTTTTCTTGAGAAATGTATTCCTACAATTGTGAAACACCAAGCACTAATGCACACCTTTCATCTCCCCACAATAGGTTGAACAATCTCTTTTTCATCTTCTATGAAGGTGAACCTCTTCAACGTTTCAACCCACCATGCATCCTTGCTCTGCTGGTTCTTAGAGTAGTATGCGCTCCAAACAGCTTTGATGTCGTCCAGGGTCATTTGAGCGCAACACTCTCGCTTACAGCAAACTTGCCCACGCAAACTCGCCAGTATTTTTTTGGTGAGTTTTCTATTAACTGACTGCAGAATCTTCTTTGACCGCTGCATTCTGAGACGAAAAGTATAAGGACGCTTCTCTGAGGACAGACGTTTTGGAAAAATGTCATCGAAATCAGAGATCACGTCACAATTCTCATCGTCATTTCGACAACAGTGGTCAGTGTTCCGGTCAGCGTACGTTTGCGGATGATCGGTTTTATCTGGAGAACTATCAGCACTAAACGACACTGAAGCACTTGAATATGAACCACCTTCATCACTCTACCAAACAGAAGACCTGTGTACTCGAAATCTCGAAGTGAACTCCTCGGCACCCATACAACACGATCTACATCGGATGCGTCGTTGTCAGTAGAGGAGGCCTTACCCTCTTGACCTTCAGCACTCTCTGCATCATAGGTTCGAACCGGGCATCGAAGGACGGGATACGCACTTTCACATGTAGTGTCCGCACACACAATATTTTGTGACCTCTTATGAGCAAGAAATTCCGGAGCATTATCGACACGTTCGTGACCACTTTGAACATCTTGTGAACACATTGGCAGGTGCGGTGGAGGAAAATCCTCATTGAGCATTGTATTAGATGCCACACAGTCAATGCTTTCCAAGGTTGTGCTGCAAGCCTGCCATGGCATAGCATGCACACCACAAGCCATGCACGAGACGTGTCTGCGACAACAAAACAGCGGACCACTGTCAAAGGCGCAAATCAGAGGTCAATGAAATAGAGCAGACAACTATCCCTACACAACAGCGAGAAACACAGCCCTATAAATGACCCTGAGAAACACAGCCCTATACTGGACGAAGGGGAACATAAAACATCCGAGAGAGGATAACACACGACCGTGGAATCTGGGTAGCAATCCAGTCATCAGGCCCAATCCGTGCCAAAGACGCAAAAGAGTCTATCCAAGTCGGAGATCGAACAACAGTGGGAAGCGTAGCACATGTCAAGTCGGGGCACCAGCAACGGAAAACACAGTGTGCAATAGCATTGAAAAGGTGGAGATCTTGACGCGCAACAGGAAACGCAGCACATGTCACGTCGGGCACCAGCTTCGGAAAGGCAGAGACCACGGCGCGCAAAACCCAGTGGGCACCAACAGCGGAACGGCGAAGACTCTGGCGCGCAACACACAGCTTGGCACGAGGGCATTGATAGGAAAGATTCTATATTACTCCAGGAACTACAGGGACTGGACACGCGTGGTACTCACCACCCACGCAGAGCGGGCAGGAAAACAGCCACGAGTGAGCAGGAAAACCATCGTGGCAACGAGACCGCCTCGCCCAACACGGAAGGATCCCCCGTCTTGATTCCCGGCACGCGTGGTACTCACCACCCACGCAGAGAGGGCAGGAAAACTGCCACGAGTGAGCAGGAAAACCATCGTGGCAA